CTCTTTTAACACAGGTAGAGTTTGTTGTTTTATGAAATTGAGAAAATCGGGACTTGTTAGCACACAGTGATGTTTTAGTTCTTGGAGGGAGCTGTGCTACCTCTTAAGAAGTCGCCTCTTCTGATAGTTGTAACTTATAGCCCCTGGTTGCAGAATGGTGTCGCAGACCAGCTGAGGAGCAGTGAGGAACGAGGGGAGGACAGTTACCAGTGGGAGCACTTGACATGAATTCAGTTACTGTTGTTTTGCAGTAATTGTTGCTGAAGAAATACCTGGAGCTTCCAAGCAGTTTGTTTTCATTCATAGAACTCTGTTTAAATTTTGGCTTTCACAGTTGATTGTGCTCTGCCAAGACTCTTGGTAACCGTCCTGGCAGCTGAGCACCTTGCCTCTGAGTGTGATCCTGGTGTATTCAGTCTGATATGTAAAAGCCAATGCCAGTTGTACAGTGAAAGGAAGATATTTTATACTCATCAGTGAGTTTGTCTGGCAAGGCCACAGTCTGAGGTGATGTTGAGCATTTTAAATGGAGTAGATAATTCAGAATCAATACCATTAAATATGAGGAGGCAGAGCCTGCCTGTCTGTATGCTGGGTAAGTCAATGCAGCAATTACCCAGGGACTGAAATGAGGGAAGAGGTGAAATACCTGAAAAGGAAAGAAGGCTGATCCTTAGGAATCTGAGGCTTATCTTGCAATCATAATACTGACGTGTGGGGATACCTTTTGTGATGTGTTAGTTGTTTCACAAGAAGAGTAATGGGATAAATAATGCTGATTTTGGCATAAAATCTGCCATTACAGTATTTGTTTGTGTAAATCTGGTGTCAGGAATTGCTGGAAATCAAGATCATTCTTATGATTTGCTTTGTGATTCTGAAAAACTATGTTCCCATTATATTAGCAGACCAGAAACAGTATTTAATAAAATACAGTTACTAGTAAGGGTGGATGATATCAGTGTTATAACTAGAAACAAAATTTGTAGGTATTGAACAAAAGTGATACAAACTGCAAGTGTGGAGTGGCTCAGTGAATAGCACAAAATGTCAATTTTGGCATAATCATAAGGAATAGCTTTTGAATAGCCACAGCTTTCCCAGTCTTTGAGGAGTGCTCAAAGAGCTGCTTGGTTCTAAAAATAAAATTAAATTAATATTAAAATTACCTAATAACACTCCCTTCAGATGTCTGTTAACCTGAACAGCTAAAATTTGGAGGTTATCAACTAATTAAAGTGGAAGCTGATGGACAAGTCACCAGGCAGTGAACTGAAAACACATGTCCCTGGCTGGCACAGGGCTTCAGATTAAAGACTTCTTCAGGATTCTTCTTCTGCTACACGTGCATTCTCTACACAGAAATCATGGTCTAATCATGATGGTTTCTTGGTCACCTTCGGTAATCACTGTTATACTGAAATCATCATTTCAAACCTTGAAAGTAGGGATGGTCTCAACTTGACAGCAAATACTCCAGATGAGCACCGTGAGAGATTTGAGGTCAAGACGTTTAAAGCTATGGTAGAGCACATGTGAGGTTAGAGTAAACAACTATTTATAAGTATAACTGAAATACTTAAAATATTTTGGCCAATTCAGAGTAAGTGGTGAGATAGGTGGCTTGCCTTCTGGGAGTATTTCTTGACCCACTTAGTTGTCAGTCTTTTGTCTCAGAGATGAGTGGTAATTATAGCTTTAATGCTTCCTCTACTTTCAGGTGATTGTAATTGTGTGTCTGTTCCTTCTAAGATTGTGGTCTCTGGTTAGGCTCTGGATTTTGTGTAGTACAGCATAGTATCCCTAAGTGAGATCATGTTGCTATGCTTCAGGCCAAATCACTTTCCATTTTACAGTTAATTTGGAAAAGGTAACCTCTCTAACCACTCTGTGTCTTGTTTGCAAATTCAAGTCATACAGGCTATTCTATTAGATATTCTTCCCAGGAGGAAATATTCATTAGTGTAGTTTTTAATCTAAATAGACTAAAACATATGTATTAAGATGCAGTTTGTGTGGCTTCAAGTACCTTAAAGTCACTTGCTACGCTTTACAGAGCTTCTATTTTATTTGTTAGAAAGTTGATGACCTCTTATCACCTCCATTCTAATTCTTGAACTCTTTGCTATCTGACACTGAAGTCTGTAACCAGTAATGGTGTATGTACCCTGACTTTTTGTTATTGTTCTGTATGCTCTTTGGTGCTGTTTCCCTACAGATTTTCTCATCTGGTTGGAGTTTCTTTGGAGCACTTCAGAGCAATTTAGTGTATGTAGCTAAGAGAAAAAAGCCATTTTAGACCAGTACATCATAAAGGCTTATTATAGCAAAAGTACTTTTGAAAGCAACGTCTTTTTGAGAAGGAAGAGGCCACTCTAGCTTGCTGTCTTAAGGATAAGTTTGTCAAGAGTTTAAAGCAGAGCTACTCATTGTAGTACCTGACCAACTGGGCTGCAGGCGTTGATCAGACGGTCAGACGTTCAGTTTTGTCATGCAAAAACAAAATGTTATGCTGCTAATTTAAGAAGGATTTCTGTCTTAAACTTGTTGCTGTGGTTATTAGACCATTTTAATTGGATCTGGATTTTTGCTGCTGTCAAAATATGGTACTGTTTTCTTTACATCTCACCAATTACTTAAGTGTTCGTTAATTATTGAAGATTAATGTCCAGATTGCCCAAAGCGTTTGCTGGATGTACTGAACCATAATGTCACACATTGATCTTTTTAATTACTCGTGGGATTACTGAGGCAAACAGGCACATGCAGAATTTTGTAACATCTAGTAAAAATTGGTAGGTAAAAACTTGAGAGAATAAAGGTGTCCTTGTCAAATAGTAAAAATACACTGCACAAAGCACTGTGTTAAGGCAATCTTTGTCTCAAAAGGTTAAAAGTAAAGTAGTATAAGAGTGTTACAGATAGGGAAACGGAGTTACCAAAAGATACAAATATTCTCATTGTCTGGGTTGGTTAGTTGGTTTGTTTCAGGATATCTTGAGGCCAGTCTCAGTTGCATTCAGTATCTATGAAGTATATTGAATAGGTATTAAAGAAAAGAGGAATTTAATAAAGTAGATCTGTGCACACCTGAGAAGAGGCAGTTTAAATGTGAGAGGGAGAGGAAGGGACGAGGGGAGGAAGTTGGACAGAAAGAAGTAAACATTTTCAAGACTGGAGTCTTGAAAGGAAAACGGAGGAGTAGAAATGTTACTGGTCCTATTAGTTAATTCATTTCATTAACTGCACCTGAATCATGATAAATTAAACAGTGTCAAACCAACTGGTTACTCACTTTGATTGGCTTGTTATTTTTTTTGTATTTTATATTCAACTTGGTAAGAACTGACGATGTTATTTCCTCAAATGTTTTTTGAGTATATCAACTCCTGGCTTACGTTTGGTGATTGTTATCTTAGAAGACCGGTGTTCAATTGTATAATCATTAAGGGTAGAAAAGACCACATCTAATTAGAACATCCAACTGTCCACTTATCACCCATATTACTCACTAAACCATGTCTCTCAATACAACATCTAAATGTTTCTTGAACACCCTCCTGGATGGTGACTCCATCACTTCCCTGGGCAGCCCATTTGAGTCCCTGACCACTCTTTTGGAGAAGCAGTTTTTCCTAATCTTTGATCTGAACCTCTCCTGGTGCAACTTGAGGCTATTCTCTCTAGTCCTAATTCTAGTTACACAGGAGAAGAGGCCAACCCCTATGTCACCATAACCTTTTTTTGGGTAGTTTTAGAAGGCAGTAAGGTCTCCCCAGACCTTCTTTCCTCAAGACTAAACAATCCCAGTTCCATCAGCTGCGCCTCATAAGGCCTACGCTCCAGACCCCTCACGGCTTCATTGCCCTTCTCTGGATCTGCTCTAGAGCCTCAATATCTTTCTTGTGGTGAGGAGCCCAAAAGTGAACACAGCACTCAAAGTGCAGCCTCACCGGTGCAAAGTACAGAGGGACAATCACCTCACTGCTCCTGGCTGCACTGTTTCTAATTCAAGTCAGGAAGCTGTTGTCCTTCTTGGATCATGTTCAGTCAAGCATCAACCAATGCCCCCAGGTCCTTTTCCTTTTCAGTTTTCTGGCCACTCTGCCTGAGGCTTGTAGCATTGCCTGGGGTTGTGGCCAAAGTGCAGAACTTGGTGTTTGGTCCTGTTAAACTTCATCCCATATGCCTCATCCCACCTATCCAGCCTATCCCTGTCCCTCTCTGTGTAGGGCCTTCCTGAGCTCAGACAGATGGACTTTTCCTTCCATCTTGGTGTCATCTGCAGATTTAGAGACAGTGCACCGTGTTGCAGAGCTGGCTACAGTTACTTAAATGAACTCCTGTAAATGCTTCAAAAGGTTGCTAATGCAAGTCTTTCTCTTGCACATGTAGAACATTCAAATTAGTGTTACAAATTGGCAAAATAGATGCACTTAGCATCTTCAGCTACTCCAATTTCTTTAAAAGTTTTTTTTTCTGCTTTGAAGTTTAAATAGTTGGTTTATGCTTATTATGTGTTTATTGCGGTCTCATGTTGTAGGAATGCTTGGTGGAGAAATGGAATTTGTTAGGTGATGAGTCTGAAGTTGAAAAGGTGACTCATTGGTTTCATCTGTTAATAACTGAAAATCCACCAATGCATTTCTTAATACTCAAAGTTTTTCTGCAGATGCAACCTAATATTCTGTACACAAATAGAGCTCTTTGGGAAATTCCCTGAGGCTTTTTTTTTTCTAAGTGTGTGCTTTTTTTTTTTTTTCCTATGCAGTACCTATTCCTAGCAAAGGCAAGCATGCATCACTTTGCAATTTTTATCGTTCTATACTGTGCTGTATTTTATCGAGTTAATATTCTGGACCGCTGTATTTTTGAAATTTGGTTGAAGATTCAAGAAATTTGCTTATAAAGACCACAATGCCTGTGTCTCAGGGAAATAAAAATGAGTAGAGTGAAGTCTGCTGCAATGTAACTTATAACCAATTATTTTCACTTTTCAGATGTTCCTCCTGCTGATCAAGAAAAGCTTTTTATCCAGAAGTTACGACAATGTTGTGTACTTTTTGACTTTGTTTCTGATCCACTAAGTGACCTAAAGTGGAAGGAAGTAAAGCGAGCAGCTTTAAGTGAAATGGTAGAATATATCACACACAATCGCAATGTGATTACAGAACCTATTTACCCTGAAGTAGTACATATGGTAAGTGATGGGAACCAGTCTGATTATTTTTTTTTAACTCATACTTGTTTCTTTAGCTACATCAATCTATTTTAAAAAACCTTACTGAAATATTCAGAGATCAACTGCCCTCTGTACATCAGCAAAATGGTAACATAACTGTGTTTTTAAAAATCTTTTTGCCATTGTTGGCTCATCTTCTTTGTACGGTAGAACTTGGGTACTGTTGTGGTTTAACCTGGCAGCAGCTCAGCACCATATGGCTTGTGTTCATTCCCTGCTCCTAATGGTAAGGAGAGGATTGGCAAGTGAAAAAGAAAGTGGAACTCATAGGGTGAGATAAAAATTATTTACTAAGACAAAAAAGGAAGGACAAAATAATATTAATGGTGGTAATAATGAAGATATTACTAATGATAGGTATGTACATATAAATACGAGTGTGTTTGTATACTATATATAAGCCAAGTGGTATACAGTGCAGTTGCTCACCACCAGCTGACCAGTGCCCAAGCAGCTACTGCCCCTGGCCAACTTCCCCCAGTTTTTATAGTTCCACATAATACTGTATGGTGAGGAGTATCCCTTTGGCTGGTTTAGTTCATTTGTTCTGGTTCTGTCTCTTCCCAGCTCTGTGCACCTCCAGAAAACTCTCCTTTTTTCCCCATAGATTTCTTCTGGAATAGATATTTCTAAAAACTGGGGAAGTTAAATATGTCTAGTTTTTAAAAGAATGTAGATTGCGAAACTGAAAAATTGAGAATATTTTTGTAAGGTGAGAATTAAGTTCACTTGTGGAAGGTTGGCAATTGATATTACATAACTACATTCAGTACCATTGGTTGAAATTGATTTTTTTTTTTCCTGCATTCAGAGCTGAGAATGAGAGTTGGACCTTATATTGTACACAGATGAGAATTCTGCTGGAACAAGCTATATGAACTTCTTAGCCCTGTGCTGTTTCTCCCCTTTACTATTTAGTCCCAAGCCTATTAGACCTGCTTTACTTCTGTGTCGTATTTAAGTACGCTCCAGAGAAGTCAACTATGAAACTACGAGAGAATCTTTCTGCCCTCGTTGTGGTGGCTGGACATCAGTTGCTTGGAGTAGCAATTGGGCTGGGAACAATGATATCTTTTCAAGTCACTAACTGCAGAGTTTGCAAACTGCTCTTGATTGTATGTTACACGAATGTGTTTTCCTGTGATCTGTAATAGCTTGGGATGAGTTTTCAGGGTGATGAGAAAACAATATACGTTTAACGTAAATATAATATAAACTCAGTAAGATTGTGAGGTCGTGCTCCAAATCAGAATCTTATAGGTTCTTCAGAGTACGTTCTAAGAAATTTTACTATTAACTTAAAAAAATTACTTGTTACCTGAGTCCACCATAAATGCTTACTGATAGATGCCACTTTCATGAGAACTTGTCTGTGTGAGAATTCCTAATAACACTGTATGTCAAAAATACAGGAAGCACAGAGAATGGTTAATGACCAAATGTGGGTTTGTGTCTGGATTACCTACTTCTATTTTTGCTAATTGATTGTTTGACACCACTGAAAAGGGAATTATTAGACAATAAGCTTGCAAAGATTTTGCTTAGATAAAACTGAATTCATGATGGAAGGCTTGAAAATCTTGACTGTGGGTTGGAGTCTTTGCTGTCCATGGATTGACTGTGTGAGGAGTCTTAGCTGTCCATAAATTCATAACTTCCATGTTATGATTCTTCCTCTGTCCAAAAACTGACAATAATACATTTGCCCAAGAAGATATATGCTGCTTTTGCTTTTACATGCAACTAGTGGTAATAGTGTGTATTTCTGTCGGTCTAATACATTTTAGTGTAGGATTTGATACCTTAATCACTAGTATTCTGCTATGAGCTCACAGAATCTTTCAGTGAACTTAAAATGCTTTCCACACGTTAGATTCTAAAGGGTGTGGACTTCCTTCCATGGAATTTAGACAGCATTGTGATACACACTGTCGGTTATTGGACCTGGACTAATACTTAGAGGTTAAATTCAGATGGCAAAATGAAGTCCTCAATATAAATGTGCGTGCCAGAAACAAAGAGAATTACAGTACTACTGCAGGAGGAATATGGTTGTTTCAGGACAGATAATTGAGAGAAAACTGTTCATAAAAGCAGCCTATAAAAATTGCTGAGTTCTAGCAGTGGCTTCATGAATTAATTATGTGGTTTTTAAGGTAAAAGAAATCTAATGACTTCTGTGTGCTTTAAGGGACCTATCTATATCTATCTGTGTTAGGACTCATTGCACCAAATTTGGCATTATCCATCAAGTTCAGCATCCTGGTATTGCCAGTGATGAGTGTAGAAGGTACTCTAAAAGGTGAAGTCTTTTTTCTTTTTCTTTTAATCTGTGGATGGCTGTGCCATTCTGTTCACCTTCATGTTTGCCAGTTACTCATCTGTTTATGAGTTTTTACTTATGTGCATGGTTTTGTAAGTGTGTATTTGAGATTTTTTTGTTTTTTTTCGGTTAACATACTGCCATACGTTAGGCCAAGTACTGAGGGCAATGATTTCTACAAGTTGTTTATTTAATGGTAATAAGAAATTTTTTTAAATAAAAGTTTTCCTTTTTTTGTTTTCATCTTTTATTTTTTATTTGCTCTGATAAGAGCACTCTTTAAAATTCTAGCGATCATGTCATGTTCAATTCCCCTTCTGTCCCCTGTCTCTATTCTTGCTTCAGGTACCTTTGACAAATGTGTGGTTAGGTCTTCTCTTTAAACAATATATTCATCTGGTGGATGAATTCAGTTATTTAACCTTAATAACAAATTTCCTTTTCAAAAGATAGAGTTTCTGAAACGGATTTAATGTTATTTTCCAGAGTGGATGCAAGAATTTCTTTCCCTTCTTCCTCAAGGAACTGGCTGACAGGTCTTTCAGATTCTCCTTTTGTTTGTAAGCAAATATATGGTGGGAAATGAAATGTTTCTATTAAACCCTTTACAAGTTCCATTTCTCATATATGTTATAGTGAAGTTGGACTTCCTGTCCTCAGAGCAGGAGCTTGCATCTTAGAACTGGAAGACGTGGACAAATGCCTAAGTACATTCAGTAACTGTAAATAGTAAATTCAGTAATTTTGGTGAAAAGCATGTGTCACAGATTCTCTTGTTTAGTAAAGGGATGTATGATTGAATTTAGCTTGGATTTTGAAGAAAACAGGGCTTTGTGAGCTAGTTCTGGTACACACTAATCTGTCAGAAGCATAGACATTTCCCTAAATGAGTTCAGTAGAAGTCTTGTGAGAATTGTTAACTTTGTAGAATACTGACCATGTGATTGCTGCTTTCCATGTCAGGAAAGGATGGGCAGCATCTGTATTGTGTCTATAAAAGTGAGCATATACAGATGTTTGCCAGCTGACCAGTCAGGGGTTATTGAAGAGATCTCAGAGGAGGCCAAGGAAGTGCTGAATCTGTAGTGTTGTGAGAAATAAGAAAATTCAAAGCTTGGATAAATGAGACTTGTCTCTGTAGCTTCCAGAATACTTTCTCTGATGATGATGGAATACTTATGGATGATATAGTTTTTGTGGTTGGTTTTTTTTTTTTTTTTTTTTTGTGTGAAACATGTAGGCCAATATTAAGTTTAAAATTGCTAATATATAGGAAATAAGTTTTGTGTTTTATAACCAGATCATTTCAGTAGTTAAAGCAGTTTTTCACTGTACTTTTCACTTATGAAGATGAAGTGACAAACTCAGTTACATGCACAAAGAATTTCTGAGTGTTATTTCTGGTTATGTGGGTAGGGGTTTTTTGTTTAATTTGATACTCAGTATGGAATGAGAGATTTTACTGGGAGTAGAAGTGTTGTATTTGTGGTTCAGCTTAGCTATTAGGATGGCTTTATTTCTTAAAATACAGAGGAGGCAGGCTGTCAGATTACAGAGTTTGTCATTCAGAGCTGTTCATGTCAAGCTTCACTTGGACTGCTCAGCAAAAGGGAAGAGAGAATGCGTGTCATGTTCTCTCTGTAATGCCTACTCACTTGAAACTTTTCTCTAGCATTGCACGAAATGAGCCGCCAGAAAAACAGAGAATATAACCATGGCAGCAGAACATATCTGTGAAGCTGCAAAAATGCAGCATATTTGCCTTTTTTTTTTTTTTTGGTTCTCCTTTCCTCCGAAGTTACATCCTTCACAGTCAAGGATGTCAGCGCTAAAAGCTCAGAGGGAATTTTGGCACACTAGCCCCTGTTTCATAAAGACTCAAATCTGATAAATTTTGAGGAGATTGTGAGGTTCTGTTGTTATCAAGGGGATGTAAATTAATCCTTTATGGTATGTTTGCTTAAGTACATCTGTGGGAAGTTGACTTTTGAGGAAATAGGGCTTTGCAACTTATATCACACATGTTAGGTAAAAAGGCAGATGTTAGAGGAAGCCATTTGACCAAAAGGTAAAAGACACAATGATACCAATTCATTGTAAATTTTCCTAAATTTCAGTGGCATAGACAGGAGAATTTCAGGTCTATTCCTTCACTGAGAAATGCCGTATCTTGATTTGAGCACTGAGTTTCCATGTCCTTTTGGTCAAAGTTTTAAAATACAAAAGAGATTGATTTCGTATGGAACACATTTATTGTGTTTTTGAGTTTTTTAACTCATTCCACTTGATGTTCTCAAAAATAAAAAAAATTTAAAAAAAAGGAGGGCTTGAGGTGGGGGAAGGGGAAAAAGTAGGAGTCAATACTAAGACCTTATGCAACCCAGCTTTTCTTTCTTTATAGCAAGAGCCTGAGACTCTCCCATCTAGAAAAGGCTGACGTTTCTTCTGTTAACAGTCTCAGGAAGTGAGAGTTCCAAGTCTCATCATCCCTAGTTTTTCTTGGAAGTCAGTTGACTATTGCTAGTTTTCACCTTTTTCAAAGGCAGGTTGGAGGTTGCTAGTTGATTGATGTCTATACTTTTAGAGTATCTTTATACAGCCTATCTCAGTTTTCCTTTTCATTCTGTGAAAGAGTAATTAATATGCTATTCATAGTCAAAATCAAACCTGCATCCCTGATGTGAAGGAATACTCTGAGGAAAATAGAGCATGAGGATGACATTTCCCTCATGGGAATATGATGTAATTCTTGCAGATTTAGTTGATGCAGTTTGATACTGCCTCCCACTGTCTGCTCTGCCATCTGTCAGATGTGAGAAGGCAGGACAGCACTTACGTATGCTCCTAAGCCTGCCAGCTAGTAGGTAATGTTACAGCATTATTTTAAACTGTGAATGGAGCTGATAAATGATAAACAGTCACAATGGGAACAGGGAAGCATGCTTGCATGCTGCTTTTCCCAGAGTCCCACCACAGATGGAGGGAGTGGATTCCTCTGCAAAACAACATATTGAAACAAATCTAGCTTGATCTGTCAGAGCTTCTGGGTCATCTTGAAATGATGGTTAAATAAACTTGGATATTATTTAAAAGCAAAAGAACAATTAAAGAAAACCACCTTATAACACACTGAGAAGGGGATAAAGATGTGCATTTGGCTCCTGTATCATCTGAAAATTTGATAATTAGAGACTGATAGTATGCTATGAAGAATAGAATTTAAGTGTAATTCTTGGGTAGACTTGTAGTTAGATTGTAAATAAACTCAAACTTGCAGAATTTAGGAACTGCATTAGACACTTGTTGAAAGTATAGGAACAACTCAGCCGATGAAGTAAATTATTTTGCATCCTCAGGACTTTCAGTTCAGTGCAATACCCAGTGGAGCAATCTTTCTTCTTTCTGGTTGTGGAAATACTCTACTGGCATGTTTGCTGAACCAAGTATTAGTGTTCTTGAAAAGGCTGTAAATGTTTCTGCTGTTCTTGATGTTGTAGCCTTTTGCAAATAATTCTTTTCTCGAGAGATCTGTTGTGTCTTCTGTGGTCAGACTTAAGAAATGTATTCTCAGATTTCCTGTTAATACTTGCAAAAGGCCTCCTCCAATCTGTTGCAACCATCAGGTATCAGTAATAGTATATAAGTAATCTCTTCCAGTATTTGTGGTACACACTTAGAATGGAGTGTATGTATGCCTTGTGATGTTCCATGCAGCCAGCTGCAGCTGATCTGGTAAATCGTTTTGTGTATGTCATAGTCCTCCATTCAGCATAGCAAACATTCTCACTGTGAGCAAGTGTCTATCCAAATTTATTTTAGAATATCTTAGTATTTTTACAATGAACAAAATGATTTAATTTGTGCGTTTTAAAGCAGAGCTCTGTGCAGCATTAAAAAGTTTCTGAATGCAGCCTAATACACTCAATCATTATGAAAGGGAAGAATAGTATGCCACTGTTTTTTTATTTTGGCAATCTTGTCATTTCTGCAGTGTATTTAAGCTGCTGAGAATACTGAGGCATCTGTATCAAGGAATCAGCCTGAAGCAGTAGAGGTTGTTTAGGACCATAATTTGAATTGATGTATATATTCAAAAATTAGTTGAGAGTGCTGCTGTTTTGATACCAAATAAGCAAGCAACAAAACAGAATAAAGAAAGACTCTCTTGGATGCACTTACTAATAGACTGCTAAATAGATTGTTTTTCTGTTTGCTCATCAGTTTAGTTGTTTCTTACAACATCTGCCCTACCTAATAATCTGGATTATAAGAGGAATTGAGGAATTAGTCTCTTTCAGTACTGACAGCCATAGCTGTCTTTATATTTACAGATGAAGGCTCTTTCTGGTTTTCTTACTAGCATGCGCAGAAACCTGTTCCCTCCAACTTGCTCAGTAAAAGTTAGGATCAGTAACTCCTCAGAGGTGTAAGAATAGCCATTGAATCACTAGTTAGCTAGTTAGTCCTTTCCTGTCCACAAAGAAACTGGCTGTCATTTTAGGAGAACTGAGAGTAGTGCAGACTTGTTAAATCTGTACTAAACTGTTGTAACCTAAAGAGAGCCTACAAAGAGGAGGGGAATCAACTCTTTGAAAGGGTTGACAACTGCAGGACAAGGGGAAATGGTTTTAAGTTGAGGGAGGGCAGATTTAGGTTGGATGTCGGGGAAATTCTTTACAGAGTGGTGAGGTGCTGGAACAGCTGCCCAGAGAGGCTGTGGATGCCCCGTCCATCGCTGGAGGTCTACAAGGCCAGGTTGGATGGGGCTCTGGGCAGCCTGGTCTAGCATATAATGGCGAGGTTGGTGGCCCTGCATGGCACAGGGGGTTGGAGATTCGTGATCCTTGAGGTCCCTTCCAACCCTGGCCATTCTGTGATTCTGTAAGAAAGATCACTCTTGAGAATGTGCGCTAAAAATCACGAGGCTTTTTTTGCCAACAAATGTGCTTTACTTTCATTTGTGATTGTGTATTTCATATATTAATGTAATTGTGATTATATCTGATTATGTTCATTTTACTACGTAACAAAAAAATTCAACATGCACTCAGTGGTGAGGTAAAGTACCTAGAAGAGGACATCATAAAGAAATACTACCTGTCACAATTTAAATTATTATTGCAAAATTATTAATCTAGTTACTTCCAGTTTATTAATGCACAATTGACACAAGCACAGTGAGCACTCACCTTCGCTCTGGAATGTTTCTGACCTTGAGATGTAAGAGGTTCTCTAAAATTTACCCTTTGGGTTTTTTTTCCCTTCTAAGACTTCTAAGGGTTTTTTCTTTGTACTGGGACTTTAAAATCCTGTTCATTTTTAAGGGTCTTGTGGCCCCTGCTGTGGTTCGTGCATGTGTGCATCTAGGCAAGCACTTGGAGGCACAGAAATGATTTATATGTGTTTACACACACCTTGAGAGATCCTTCCTTGAGGATGCTGAACTGCATGGTTAGATGGGCATGGCTTAAGAGAAGTGCCTCTAAGAGAGGAAGGTTGGAACTTGGTTTTGAGGTATTTCCACATCCGTATGCCTATGGTGTGAAGTGAAACTGGTACTAATTTGCACAACAATATCAGGTAATCTTTGTTTTGTGTCTCTGGCTCTGACTTTTACTTTTGGAGGTTGCAAATTCTTTGCAGGTGTGTATATAAATATTTTATAAATGTTTGCTTGAGTGTTTAAAGTGTGCGTGTGTGTGTGTGTGTGAAGAGACAAAATAAGACATCCTGCCAATATGTTTGTACTTTAAAGAGTACCACATGGAAAACTGTACTCCAAGTTTAAAATCTTAAGAATAAATGTACTTCATTTTTCTCTAAATTACTGAGTTATCTAGTTTGCATTTCTCTCCAGATATTAACTAAGTAGGTTGTGCTAAGACTTTTCAGTCAAAATTGTCTTTGGAATCATTCATTTTCTTCAAAGTTCTTAAAGGAATGTGTGATTTCAGTTTGCAGTTAATATGTTTCGAACATTACCACCATCTTCCAATCCAACTGGAGCAGAGTTTGATCCAGAGGAAGATGAACCAACTTTAGAAGCTGCATGGCCTCATCTGCAGGTACCTTATGAAGCACAGGATGTCACCATCTAACAGAATTTTGACATTAAATTCATTCTTATTGATTCAAAATCATACAGGTTCTGTCTGTCTCCCTAGATCAGTTAATCGCTCTATGGTGTTAAAATATGTCTTGAATTTACACTGATCTTTTCGATGAGTGTCAGTGTATTGGAGGCTGAAGGTTTGCTGTTTCTTGTGGTCCGGATGTAACTGCTGTGATGAGCTTCAGTTTGTCACTGGATTCTTTGACTCAGTTCTGTCTTTGAGAGGTGCTGTGACAAACATAGAATGATTTTTAAAACACATACTTCTGGGCATGTTGAATATTGGATTTTGTCATATGAGGAGAATTTAGCAGTGGAGCTCAGCAGAATTTCAGTGCAATTTAAAGAACATAACTTATACTGAATAAAAACATACTTCATGGAGAGGCCAGAAGCAAAGCTTTCATTGTGTGTTATGTAAATAAACATGTGTTGTACAAATATAAACAGTGCAATTTTGGGCAACTAATTAGTAATTTTGGTAATATGCTGGTCATAAAATGTGTTTTTTGTTTATAAGACTAATGGTATTTTTTCGTTGGACTCTTTTTCAGCTTGTTTATGAATTTTTCTTAAGGTTTTTAGAATCTCCAGATTTCCAACCTAATATAGCTAAGAAATATATTGATCAGAAGTTTGTATTACAGGTAAGGTAACAATAACTTTTGGCTTCAAGCTCTATATTCACATTCTCTTGCGGAGCATTACATTCAATAAAGTATATCTTTTCTTTTCCCTCTTTGCAGCTTTTAGAGCTCTTTGACAGTGAAGATCCCCGTGAAAGAGATTTTCTTAAAACAACTCTTCACAGAATATATGGGAAATTCTTAGGCCTGAGAGCTTACATCCGAAAACAAATTAATAATATATTTTATAGGTATGTCAGTGTCTTTGTCTTATGAGGCATTTGGTCAGATAAATAGCTAAATATACTTCATGATACTGTAGTAGTCTTCAAATCTTAGTAATTTCATATCTAATACTACTACATCTAACAGTATTTGATGCTAACCTGAGAGATTTAAATTGGGGGAGCCTTGCATGCAGCATATATTTGGCAGCCAATATTTGAATTATGTTACTTGATTGGGTGATTTGGTATCTTTATCTGACACCTTTCTCTTGTTGTGCAGTAGTATTCGTACTGTAATAGCAGTTGATTTCTTTGTAATGCAGAAGTTGCAACCCTAATGGAGTGACAGAGAATTTGATTGGAAGAGCATATTTACTGGCTCTTCTTTCCTCAGACATAAGATGTTCTGTTTGGGGTTGATGGGAACTTTAGTTATTGTAGAATACGCTGTAGTTTTTATACCCAGTCACCCAATCAAAAGATTGACACAAAGAAAATTTAATTTGCAGTCTTTCCAAAGGGGTTTAGAAGTCTGTTTTAATTGCCTGTCATCAGGTGTGAAAACAATATTATGGTGCCTTTTTTGATCTTCTAGATTTTGTACCCTTCTTGTCTACAAGTCATTATAATACTGTGTATCAGTTTTTACACATTTTCCAATGTTTCCATTTTTTTCATCACAATTTTCAAATCAAAATGAACTTCTTTAACAAAATAGCAAAAAACTTCTGCATACTGGCTACTATTTTATGAATGGCACCCAGAACTACCAGCTGTAGAGGGAGTTTCGCTTCTCAGTTTGTGGTAGCAAGTGAGCCTTTAGAAGAGATGCAGAGGAGCTACTTTTAAAGCTAGTAAGCCTTCACTCTCCTGCAGACAACAGTTCTTGACTGGCTAGAGCCAGTATCTCCCAGGGGAAAAATACGTGCGTGTCTTTCAAATAAACTGGTAAACTTATTTCTATGTGCATAGGTTGTGTTAGTTTTTACAGAAATGCATGGCTTTGTATAATATCTGAACCAAGCAGTACAACAGTATCACAGCCTATTATAATTTATTTCTCAACTGTGTTTTGACTTTCTGCTTCATGTTCTTTACTTTCAGCAGTAGTGGAAGTCTTTACTTCCACTGCTATTCTGGTGGGTGGCTTTTAAAATACTGAGAAACATTCTAGTTGTTATGTTGCCTTTGTAATAGTTTCACAATCTTGGTGATAGTTCTCCATAGTTTTTTTTTCAATCTGAAATTTATGTGACAGATGCACTGTAGAAGTGACCTTTCTCTACCAAATTTTAGGTTGGAAAGTTTAAGGGGAAGAGTGAACAAAATGCCTCACTCATAGTTCCTAAGTATTGCAGAAATAAGTAGAAATTTTTTGCTTTCAGAAGTAAACTTTTATGAATATGAGTACCAGGGAGGAAGGTTATTTAAACTTCTGTATTGAATTAGTGCATTGTGCATGACAAATTCTTAAAGAATGTGTAGAATTTTTCAAAATGTTTCCTTTTCATATACTTTTTTCCTCTAAATCTTACTACTTAATCTCAATAAGATGCAGGAAATATCTGATCTTTATTTATCCTGTAGTCACTGTCCAGAATTACATAAATTCTGTCCCCATGGTATGTTAATCTTTTTTTCTTAAGTGAAATATGTATATGTACGTATACAAATTAAGTTAGTATGTTCCTGCTTATGTTGGTGTGGTTTTTTTAAGAATTTTGTATCATTGCATTTAACTTTGCTTGAAATTGTTGTACTAAATTATATCAAGTGTATCTTTAAGGAGAAAAGAACAGTCATGTCTAACATTCTGGGTTAAAAGCAACTGTAATATGTTGGTCTATCAGAAGTTTTCAAATAGAAAATAATTTTCTACTAAATGAAATTAATAATACTTTCTAGTAAGTGAAAAAAAATCATTATTTTCGAAGTACCTGAATTTGTGCATGGAACTTTCTTGACAAATTTATGCTTAAGCAATTGAGAAGACCATAAGAAAGATGATTGCCTGGTAAATTACAGTGTTCTTTCAGAAGAAAATGCACGAAAATGTGATTACTTCTGTTCATTGCTGAGCCTTTTGTGTATACAGGAGTCTAATACCAAATAGCTTTTTAGCTCCATGAGTACTAACTGCTCGAACACTTTGTGCTTGCATGTGCTGTAGAAGGTTGAGTCATGGCATTTGATTGTGCCAGATGTTCTGTTATTTTAATATTTAAAGCGCTGTTTGCTGTGTTTTGCATTATTGAAATGACACAGAGTAGGATTGTTAAAGCTGAAGTGCATGCACTATTGTTAAATGGGAATGAAAAGAGCAAGCGTGAAGGTTGAAGGCAGCTTAATGTGCTCGTGGAGTGTGCGGATCTTCTGGAGAGCAGGGCCTTCAAGAACACAATGTGCCATTATGTTTAGAAAAGTTTCCAAGGCTGCTTGACTGTTTTCATAGGCTCCACAAAGTTTGTTTTCTGCTGTGCGATTCAAACCTGAGAGGTCAAGGCTATCTGCAATGTTAGATGGTCATCTCAGTGGTAGATGTATTTCTCTGTTCAGTAGAAACTGAGTAAAACTTCTTTTTTTTTTTTTTTTTTAGGTTTATTTATGAAACAGAACATCACAATGGCATAGCAGAATTACTGGAAATATTGGGAAGGTAAGTTGTAGGTTTTGTCCAATTAAACTGTCTTGATCTTCAAAGGAGACTTAAAATATTCAGCTGGGGATTGCCAACGGTTATGAGACAAGATGAAAATAGCATGTGGAGAAGTTTAACTTTGAATTTTGTGTAAGAGTGCAGAAACAGAGCAAAAACTTCAACTGCACAGCAGCATTTTTGGGATGTGATAAATTTTTTTTATCATTTTAAGTTTCATTTTCTACATTATTATCCTTGTAATAAAGATAAGATGCAAGGCAGCTGTAATTAAATGTAACTAGTGGTAATTTGTTTAAGAATTCCTCTAACTTCACTAAATGTATAGCAAGTAAGCATGGAAAGAACGGGTTATAAATCCTCAGAAATCATCTGTTAATCTCCTTAAAGTGAACTTCAGTGATGTGTCTGACAGCCCTTGAATCTAAGTTGCACAACGTGAAGCTGCTAACTCAGTCAAAACTGGGGTTATTATCAGTTGACTTCTCATCCAGAGATGCAAGCTCTTTAAAAAATATGTATGTAAATACACCTTAAAAGCATTATTAGTTTTACTTTACACGGTTTTTATATAATAAATTATAAGTTTCATGGCACTTAATTTTAGAATTAGAAGGCTATCTGCAATGTTAGATGGTCATCTTAGTGGTAGATTGCTGATTTGTCTGTTCTGTTAAGTTGTATTCTTTTAAGAGCTTGATCAAAAACTCTGGTACGTGTTGAATCTATTTTTTTTTCTGCTGCATTGTGTTTTCCAAGAGAGAAAAAAAAAAAAAAAAAAAAGCTATGAAATCAAGGATTTTTGTATGTGCTGTGCAGTAGTGACTATTGGAATATTCTGAATAATTGCTTTTTTTTCTCCCTGACAGCATAATTAATGGATTTGCCTTACCATTAAAAGAAGAGCACAAAATATTCCTATTGAAGGTTTTGTTACCACTGCACAAAGTGAAATCACTCAGTGTTTACCATCCACAGGTAAGATTTGTTTGGTGGTTTTTTTTAGATGACAAGAAGTGCAGAGGTCTGCTATGATGACCACCTTCTCTTCTCTCTTCTACTCTACCTGACTGAGATGATCTGATCTTTATCTATTTCCCTTACTTCACAAGTAATAATTCTAAATCTTTGGATGACTTGCATTCCCATCAACAAAAGGCGTAGGCATACCCATCTTTTATGACATGTCCTACTGAATGAAATGAGAAGGCACTTGGAATGGAAATTCTTGTTAGCAATCATCAAAAACAAGAAAGGAAATGGCCTGATCAACTGAACTTGCATGCATGAACAAAATTAGAAAACAGTGCCTAGACTGAACTTCAGACGTACAGCGAGTCTCACGTTCAAAATTTCTGCTTCAGTGGGACTGCTGGCACTTAGGGTGAAAAAGATGTAGTAGTTGACTGTCTAGGCACAGATGCAAAGTAATAATTCTCAGAAGTGAAGTTGATAAATATTGTAATCAGATCTTTGTATCTGCTTGAAACTGGTGCTCATAGTTTTTTTCCTACATAGAAAATCTTAAGTCTCGAAACTGTTCAGTGTATTTTTTTTACTAACTTTGGTGATGAAGTTGAAAATGTTTTTAAATCAGTGTGGGGTGGTGTTAGTAAGTAGAAAATAATTTAGAAAACAGAGTTATGACTTCCAATTTTATGTTTGAAAAGAGGAACCAAGTTGAAATATTAACTTTTCAGCTTGTAGAATCCTCTAGGGAGACCTGAAGGGGTGCTGTGGGAAAGAAGAGGACAGACTCTTCAGCAGGATCTGTTGTGATAAGACATGGGGAAGTGGTTTCAAACTAAAGTGGGAGATTGAGACTGGATATAAACCCAGGGTTTTTTAATAATAAGGGTAATGAAGCACGGAAATGGGTTGCCCAGAGATGTGGTGTGTGCCTTCTCCCAGCTGACATTCCGGGTCAGGCTGGATGGGGCTCTTGAGTGCTTTTGTGTGTGTGTGTGTGTGTGTGTGTGTGTGTGTGTGTGCGTGTGTGTGTGTGCGCGCCTGTGGAGAGAGAGGGAGAAGGCGTTCAGGTCTTGCTAAGTTAGCAACTTCTAGGCATGGACATTCTCAGTGAAGACACTTCAGATCGTTTGTAGCTATGTCAGCTAGAAATGATTTTTTAGGTTTTCACCTGTAGCCTAGATAGAGCCCACTGAGAAACAAACTTTGCTATTCTCCCAGTGGACTTTGTGAAGATAGATGTGCTTCATACATAGTGCTTTCTTCGTATTCATTATTTCCAAGGTATCTACAAGGTTTTTTTCTTCATAACGAAGAGCTGAAATAAAGCAATAATTTGCAGATCATTTGATCACCAATAATAGGTGTAAATTCCTTCTTACCATGCAAGAATCTTATTTAGAAAAGATTCTAGCCATTTCCTTATGGGTAAGAGAGGAGAGTTTAACTTCCTTTGTAAAGCAAATTATACAATTGTGCAGGTTATTCCTTTTCCAGCAGGAGCTGATTCAACCTTTGCAGTGTTGGCTTCTAAGTGGGCATTTGCTTCAGTGAAATTATGAAGTTTATTTTATTAAAGTGAGCAATTATTTTTGTATAAAGGTGAGATTCTAGGTTGCTTCTTTAATTAAAAATAATAAAGCAAAAACTATGTACAAACAAGCAGAGCATTTGAGCAAAGATGTAATAGATGTGATTGATATTGCACTACGTTGTGGAAGAAGTCTGATTTCACATTGAATGTTTCCTAGAGTATTAATAGTGTAAGTTCTTCCTAATTCTGTAGATTGGATCTTCCTAGAAAGTGAAAGCAGCATGCAAGTATTGTTTCAGGTGATAACTTTATGCAAACCTTCCATAACGTGAGGTAATTGTTATGCTTGTGCATATCTTTGTTAGAGAATAACAGTGGGAAATATCTCCAAATTTAAGTGTTTTTTCTTCCTCATTATTGGTATCTTTGTACGCTGGAATCACGCAGATCTCCTAATATATGCTAGAAAAAATCAGCTTGATTAAACTTATATTTTTTTTCTTATTTTCTGATAAAAATGTATCAGTTGTATTTAGTGATCTACTGAGTAATGGGAGAAGAATAAATCATAATGGGGGGAGGAACTTTTGTTCAGCCATTCTTCCTTTTTTGTTCTTTCTTGAGAGATTGTATTGAAAGTTCCTTCATATTATAACTAGGAGAGAAGATGAGAATAGTTTGAGAAAAAGGGTAAGAGCGTATTTGCTCTTCTGTTGTTTAAATTGTCTTCCAAATCTTTGTAAAATTTCAGAAGTACTGTTGTTTTATCTGAATTCAGTAACATTCCCTGGTTAAGCTGCTGATTTCAATGTGTTCCATTTCACAAGAAGTGTTAACAAAATATTTTCTTTGATTGTAGCTGGCATACTGTGTAGTTCAGTTTTTAGAGAAGGACAGCACGCTTACAGAACCAGTAAGTTTATTTTGCCTTTATTATATATTTTGGGGAGACTGATGTCCTTTTTATCAGTGAATTGTTTAAGGACGCTCGGAGAACGAAGTATTGATAGGTAATTATTTTTGTTAGGAAGAATCAGATATATAACCATTTGACATATCAAATGGGTGTCTTTCTCTACAATGTTGAAAATGATTTAATAGTTTTCAAGGTGTATCTTTTAGGAGCAAAATTGAGTGTACTCTGCTTATTTTGTTCTGGCTGACTCTCCATGAAACAGCTGATCCAAAAGCAATTTAGTCAGATATTTACTTGCCTGAACTGTGCTCTGTTGTGAGGCTGATACTGTGCTGGCACACAGATTTCTGGCACACATAGCTACATACTGATGCGAGACTTTTGAGTCAGATCCTGTTCTCCTTTAGAATCAGATGCTAACCTTGGAACATAAACAAAAACAGACTTTTGTCTGGCTGCACATAGCTGCATACCTAGACGAATATTTTTAATTATCTGAAATTGTGTATAGTGTTTTATATCATTAGTCCAACACATTTAATTGCAAAGTGGTGATCAGTGAATGGGTGCTTCTGCACTGAACCATATCTGATCATTGCTGTTATATGGGACAAATATTTGAGGGTTTTTTTCTGTTCAACTGTTTTTTCCGTTCATCAGACATGTTAATGAGATGTAATTACTTTGTCATGTACTAAATTACAAAAATTTTGTTCATTTTGCTCCTACAGGTTGTAATGGCACTGCTGAAATACTGGCCAAAGACTCACAGTCCAAAAGAAGTCATGTTTTTAAATGAATTAGAAGAAATTTTAGATGTTATTGAACCATCTGAATTTGTAAAAGTTATGGAGCCTCTTTTCAGACAGCTAGCCAAATGTGTGTCCAGTCCACACTTTCAGGTCTGTACTTAAAAAATGTGCAATGCAGTGAGGATTTTTACACAGCGAATTTGCTGTTATTCACCATACTTAGCTTCAGTTGTTACAGAAAGTCTTAACATCTATGGCAAAATTGGGAGATCCGAAAGTTAGCCTTATTGTCTCTTTTCGAGTGTGCAGTACTAGAGTTTATTTTTGATGATTCACTTAAATATTATTCTTAGCAGCTTACAATTGTGGTGTACGCAGAAGTACCTGAAACTTAGCAGTATGTAATGCTTGCATTTCACTTCTTGAAATTGAATTCTACAGATACATTTTCTTGCAGAAGAGCATTTCTTGGACTGTTTGAATGGTTTGAATCGTGTCCTTGTTAAGGAAAAAGCAGTTTTCCTTTCTCCATCAGTTCCATGAGTAGCTTCTAGTTATGCTACAAAAATCCGAATCTCATTTACAGCTTTTCTTACCTGTCACATGTTTTTGCCAAATATTTGCTTTTTAAAAGATTGTTTGAAGAAGTGTTTCTTTTTTCTGTGTCGTCTTAGGTTGCAGAGCGTGCATTATACTACTGGAATAATGAGTATATTATGAGTTTAATTAGTGATAATGCAGCAAAGATTTTACCCATCATGTTTCCATCTCTATACCGGAATTCAAAGACTCATTGGAACAAGTAAGAAACATTTGTACAAATAAAATTTTGTGCTTTTTTTTTTTTTGTCTAGTTTAGCCTTGAAAATAGCTCAAATCCTGTCTTTGGGAAGTTTTAAATGTGTTGAGGTTTTTATTATATGTCATTGGAGTTGCAGAGTAAAAAGATTACTGTTGTCAAAATGTTGATTTTGAACATTATAAGCAATATAAGCAAAAATTCTAAGCAAGTCTTCCTTCCATTACATAAAAACAATGTTTTAGTACATGTTGATCCATGGCATTTTTATTAATGTGAGGAAAATTTGTTGTTAATCTCTAATCTGGATATTTCTGAAGACTAACTGATTTTTTTGATCTCTAACTTTGCTCATTTGCATTTCTTCTGAATTCTAGTGCAGTATGTTTTAGACTGGATCATTTTATTTCCTTTCCTTTTCTTGTTTTTTCCCCCTTTGTGTTTTGTTTTCTTTCTCCATTGACTGTTTTCACTTTTTCCCCCCACTATAACATAGTACTTGCACATGAAAACAGTCCTGGTCAGCTCCTTTCTGCAGCTGTTCCATTGTAAAGGGCCTCTTTGTTTCTGCTGTGGTGCAACTGCTGGAATGATGAAAGCATCCACAGTCTAGTGCTGGCCATGAACTGAGGTCTGGTTAGCCAAGCACGCATACTGCATCTACCTCTAAACACAGAAAAAGAAAGGAAGATAAAGTGATGTTAGCGGTTGATATTTATCGCTGGATGTAAGCAGTAACAAATAATGTGCTTACAAATGAAATTTTGGTTCAGTGATGCAACTGCATATAGTAAACATGGATTGTTGTCAGTTATTTTTCTGGCTTTCAAGAACATGCATTCATTTTGTTTTGAGCAGAAGTGGTGCTACCCAGTACAGCTGCACTCCCACTTGCAACTCACTTGTGTTACAAAGTAATCACTTAACCGATTGCTTGCTGTGTGGTTTTGATGATCAGCAGATTATGCACCAGAATTTGTAAAATACTCTGTAAAAATAAGTGCTTCATAAGGCAGATATTTGTCATTGTTGTTTTCCACATCACTTTTCTAACGCTTTTCCAAAGAGTCCTGACATAATTGTGTTGAACTAAGTGCTGTTGCTGTGTGGCAGTTGCCAAAATGAATAATGTCTTCTCTGGGCTCCTTATAATCACTCTGTCAGTTGCCAGTAAGTTACTTATTTCAAAAACTGTAACGCTATCTTGCATTTTCTTTAACAACTGAGCTTGATTAAGGTCAGACAGTCATTTCAAACCCAGTCCTCTTGGTATACACAGTATTAAAAAATGAAGTTCATGAAAAATATAGGTGACAAGTAGTACTATAGAGTAAGTGAAATGGTAACTTTAGTACTTGTGTTGGCCCTTTGGAGGGTAAACTGAAACTTCCGTTAACTAGTATTGTTTCCATTTGTTCTGAAATGATGTGATTTTCCAGTTATGTAGGCTATTGGCTTCTGTTCATCAGAAAAAATAGATTTCAAAGTTTAAAGTACTCTGAGTTTCAACCAGAAGTTTTACTTATAGGACAATACATGGCTTGATATACAATGCTCTGAAACTCTTCATGGAGATGAACCAAAAACTGTTCGATGACTGCACACAGCAATTTAAAGCAGAAAAACTGAAGTAAGTTTTCATGTCAGTGTCTGTCTGTTCTTGAATAATTTGTTCAGAGTGCTTTCGCTCTGAAAAACTATGTCTCTACTGGGAAGTTGTACCCACTTGATTACAGTACAACAGTCTCAAAATTCGCTTGGTAAAAGTTCTCATTACACATGAACTGTAGAATCTTCAGAATGGGGTACTTCCTGTAGTCTTTGGCCCAATGCTGCTGCATATCACCTTTCTTAAAACTAGTTTTTGGAAAAGGACACTGCTAATCATGGAGGCCCACTGTTAATGATCTGCTGAAGAGCTTGGTTGACATCCTCTGTTTATTTTTTGCATGCTGTATTTACCCCGTGTTATTTTCTCATGTTATCACTCAGTCCTTCCCAAAACACTTATTCAGTATTTTTGACATTGCATTTTATGCGCATGTGTGCCTGTTGTTCTGGAAATAATCCAAGACAAAGTTGTCACTCTGTTATAATGCACTGTTTGCCAGAAGAATCCTGATGACTGTAGTCCTGCATGGGCCACTGAAAGAGAGCAGGAAATTAGAAGCTAGAATTTTTTCTGCTAAATGCCCAAAAATGAAGCTAAATTTTGTGCTCATGAATTTACTTTTCATAAACCTGCTATTCCTCTGGACCTCAAAATTATTTAATAGATTGGAAATAGAAGTCAAATGTGTGAATCATTCAGTGCTTACCTTAGAAACTGGGAGCATGATTAGAAAGCAGGTATTAAAAATATTTGGATTTCAATTTGATTTTTACTAAGTGACCAAGAATTCCCTCAGACAGTGTTTCAAATTCTGAACCTGAATTAAAACAGTATTTTGGAAGTAATGTAAATTTCTAATGTAGATAATCTTACTTAAATTTTGAAGCTGCTTGTTATAATTCAAGTAGAAATTAACTTGTAGTATTGCATATATTTTCTTATATGGACAAAAAGTGAATATTTGTTTTTTTGAAAGAGCAGACTGTGTGAATCTCTTATATCAAATGAGTAGAAGTCATTTTATTAAATCTGAAATCAATCATTCCTCCTTTTTCCTGTTTGTTTAGTTTGTTGTTTTTGGTTGTGGTTGTTTCATGACATTTTATTTGAATGTGAACTGAGGCAGACAGTGCTAAGGGTGACATCAGAGCAAAACGAAATTCTTTACCACAATAGAGCTTAGATGGAGAGGGAATTCTACCCTACTCTAAGCTTAACTTAATGAAGTGCTGCAGGCAATTTGTGTGTAGGCTTGAATTATAATTGCTAAGTTTCAAGCCAGGATCAGCTACTCCATGTGTTGAAGCCTGAAAGTTTTTTTTTTTTTTTTAAGTACTGTTGATCTAAAAGCCCTTTCACAACTCTACCACCTTTCAAAGAGTTTGTTCAAGCCTATACATGAGGCAGTTTATTAGGGTAGGAAAAACCAATAACTTAAATTTGAAAAAAATCAGGTATACAGAAAGAAACCTTACTTCTGAAGTATCATTTCTTGTGTCTCCATTGAATGATTTATTGTGTTTTTTGATTTTTATGTTTTGTTTCATGTCTCTATTTGTGTACAATTCAAAATATCTCTGGTTTTTTTCTCTTGTTTAAACTGTCGCCCAAGCCACTGAGATGACAGTAAGAATCCATGTAACAGTTCAATTTTTTTTCCCTTTGAGTTACAACAATTTTTAAGTGTACAATTAGCAAAGATTAGCTTGTGATAGCTGGTTGCTTCATGAGAGGATTGGGTTTGTTTTTTTTCTTTTTAATGCTGCTTTGGGATCATGACATTGATACAGATTGTAATGCCAACATGAAATGGGTTTTTTGGGCGCTAAACTGAAATGGGCGTTGCCAAACAATTTATTCTTCTAGTGATGTTTCTTTTAATGTTAAAGAAAATACACAAGTTGTGATACAGGATTCACCAAGCTTCTTTTGCCATTTTTGCTTTGAAATTTTTTTCAGAGAGAAGCTAAAATTGAAGGAACGGGAAGAAGCATGGGTTAAAATAGAAAATCTAGCCAAATCAAATCCCCAGGTATTTAGAAAAGATTAACATAAGATGTTCATGTTTTAATACTTTAGTTTTGTTAAATATCAGTGGGGGAAACAGATCTGACTGGTCATGGAAATAAAACAATTTCATTAATTGTATTATGAAAGATAAACAATAAAAGTACTTTAAAATTTGTAACCTTTCTCTTGTGCAAGTAGTTCTTTAATAAGAAAAAAGGTTTCTGAAAAATATGATGTGAAGTACTTTTTCCTTTTCTTATAATAGGAGATTTACTGTATTGCGGTTTGAAAAGTTATTGTGCAAAATAGTGGAAAACATAGAGATGCCATAATTGGTTTCTCTTTGAAAGCTGTTTTGCACACAATATATTACAAAAGAGATCTTTCTGCAAACTGTGAGTTATGACTGCTCAGATTTCCTCTGTGTCAAATGAATTAAACTAAAATTGTACATTCTTGTCTACTGCATTTGTTCTCATATTTGCTATGGGTTAGTCACTTGGTGAATGTGCACGTCAGATTCTCACTGAAAAGGAAATGTCCTGTCAGGTATCTGTGAGCTGACATGATTAAAATATTGATAAAGAAAATTTCCTTTAGAGTGCTTATCTTGACATCATGGGAGAAGGTGATGATTCAGCCTGAATTCCCCTCACCCACTCTCATTTCTTGGAGAATGCCGCTTCTCTTTTTATTTATTCATTCATTTTCTGAAAGAGTCTTTTTCCTTATTGCAGTCACTGATTTGCTGTTGTAGGCAAAAAAACAAAAACCCATTTCTATTACTTTTCAGCAAGTAGATTATTGCAGCAAGCAACTTACTGTGCTGTGTCTTTGCAGCAGCTTAGCTTGAGTGGTAGAAGAGTGAACAATGATAAAAGGAAGCAGGACACTTTATGATCTCATTGGTATTCTAAAACCAAGTATGGGGTCATATTTTTCCTAAAGAGAAGGAATTTCATAAATGTTTTTTTCCCCTTACAGCATTTCTACCAGGGAACAGTTACTAAACTGCTCAAATAAAAAATGTTAAAAATCAGAGTATGCTTAACAATAGAAGAGTCAAATGAGTTTTAGAAAAGCCATGTGCTTGAAAGTAGTGGTTGTCTTTCACTGACACAACGTTCTCTAATGTCATACAAAAGACTTGGTTCAAGAGTGCTTGATAGAGATGGTCATTTGCTATCACAAATGGTGAACTGTGCCTGTCTAAATAAATGAATAGACTCATGGTAGTAAAATCTACAGTTCTGAAGTATAAAATTGCTAGTTTTTGCCATTAACTTCTTGTCATTCAGTGTGCTTTCTGAAGCTGGGTAGCACAGCCTGTATACCATATATTCTGCATAGCCTGCTTGAAGAGAGGTGATAATGACAAGTGATTTAAAGTGATTAATTTGAACACTGCAGTCTGTATAATGGATTTTAGCAATTCCCCCTTCCATCCTGAATTTATTAACACTCCTTTAATTTTTAATTACTAACAGTTCTTGTTGTTCAGAGCTATTCCTGACTTTGCATAACAGAATACACTTTAAAATTTTAGATCTTGATATTACAACCCCTGCTGATTAGATTTTTTTATTATCTTATGTATATGATGTTACTGGCACAGACACTAAAATATCTATGAAGACAAATAGATGAGAAAGTGTGCTTATGAATGAGTTTTTATTTAAAGACCACTTAAGCCTCACTGGAGATAAATCGAACTTAACCTATTGATAAACTATTGAGATTATTGAACAGCAAGTTTCAGATACTATGAGTGTTTTCACATAATCTTTTTAATTCCCAAAGCACTTGTATGGCTGCTTTATTAAAATTTTCTGTCCTATGTAAGTACTTAACTTTAAAGGTTTTTGTCTATAGTAACTTAATCTTTTAAACTGTGTATTTTCTTTTATAAATACAAAATTGCACCAGCAATAAAAATCGTTGTGTTGTCACACTGTTCTTAAATCACTAGACAGAAATCACTAGACAGTGTATTAGGGAGTCTTCAGCTGCCAAAAATTGGCAAAATGGATATGCTTTAAAATTAAGTCTCAGATAAAGTGTAATTTTTCAATGGGACATGTATGCCAGAATGGAAACACTGGAGTTCCATTTTTCTCCATCTTTTATGTACACTTAGGAAAAAAATTATTCCTTGGTACCTGGAAGCATAAGATGTTGAAGCTAATCTCCAATAATTGCAGCGTTAAGGTGCTCTAAATCACTCTTAGTATTTAGTTACTGCTATTCAGAATGATTATTTTAACCCTTTGCATTTTATTAGTACCCAACGTATAGTGACACGAGCTTGCTGAACAGTCCAGTTGCAATGGAAACAGATGGGCCTTTAATTGAAGATTTGCAGATGCTGAAAAAGACAGTGAAAGAAGAGGCTTGTCAGGTAAGGTTATGTGAAGATAATAAAGTACCCTTTACAAATTGTATTAACAAATGATAAATCTGGCAGTTGCTCTTAATTCTGGATTTTTTTGGTTAATTCCAGAGATAAAACTAGCTATATTTTCATCTCTTTAACTTTTGTGTCTTGCAATAAGAAACTTCATTAGAGCTGCTACTTTAAAGTGATAATAGAGCAGCAAGGAATATGGTGTTACATTTCTCATGTCTAGGGATCTGATGAAAACCTCTTGAGATATTCTACAAAAGGTTTCATTTCCTTTCAACTTAGAAATTAGCTGAGTCATGGCAGAAGCAACGCTTTTGCCCTAAGCAGAATTAAAAATGTATAAATCTCTTAACTACATAACAGTTTTGTCTTTAGTAAGGAGAACTTATAAAATAGTGAGATACTAGGGATTACATTTCTTTTATCTGTTATTCACAATTTTGGCTAAAGCCTACAGTGTTTTGACAAAACTTGTGAAGTGTCCACCGTGTAAATTTCCTTGCCTACACACATAGGCTGTCTTTCCCAATTCACGGTCTGGTAACGTTCCATTACCTACAAAAAGACAAGGAGACTCAAGGCCATTCTAGTCTTCTGTCTTTAGCTAACTATTAGTGATCTCCGAGTGTTGTTTTAATTAACATAAGTGGAAGCAGAGTCCCAACATTAGAACTAGAGCTTTGGAGAACTATTTGAACTGGGAACTAATGGAAGGTGATGGGGTGACAGGGAGCAAGCACTACAGTATTACTCAGATATCTGGTAAAATATCAATAGTCTGAGTACCTCTATATACAGCAAAGTTTAAGATCAGAGCAGTGATGTCAAGGTGAGGGATTGAGATCAGAGATAAAGTCTTAATTTGAATGAAAATATCAAACAAGGAACTTAATTACAATAAACATAACATGGACTTTACCTGTTTCATTACTTAAAATTCCATTAATTAAACAACTAAAATTATTCTGTAATACTATATTTCATTTATTCTAAGAAATATGTGATTTTGAATTCAGTAGGTTGAAGTTAATAATAATAAACCTCTAAGTTATAGTCTGTGACGGCTACCTTTTAAACACTCGTTTCTGAAGCAGTTTGCAGTAAAAGCTAATGGAAAAGAGAAAAGTGGTAAAATTAAGTTTTGGAGTTGTTGAGAACATTTTAAGTGTTCTTTAACCATCTCCCCAGGTGCATGCTTTCCTGCATTTCTCCATTAGAAAAGGGTGCAAGAAGTAAATGAAATGATTAAGAGCTGTAAACCCATTTCTCAAAGATAAAGATCCTGTCTTGACTGGGTGAACAGGACAGTTTGAAACTGGAGTTGGAGGAAAAAAAAAAAACAAAACATAAAACCATAAACTTACAGAAATCTCTAAGTATGAAGCCTGCAAGGAGATTGATCATTGGCTCATGTGATAAGGAAAGGACTGAGGGGCTGTGGGGTACTCTGGACAGCAGGCTAGGTTTGCAGTGGCATTTGTGATTGCAGACTGGAGAGAGACTTACTTATCCCTTGCTCAAGTACCAAAGGAAACTGATGCTAAAACAAGCTAAACTGGCTTGCCAGGAAAAAAAAGTCAGCATGAAGGGTTTGTGTTTTTTTGTTGTTGTTTTTATTTTTTTTAAGTCAAAAATAAAAGATCAGAAGTGAGGAACAATGTAGAGATCTATACAGTGTCATTGAAAGTAAGGCTTTACGCAGAGTATCGATTTGAAGAAGTGATGGGATGGCTGAGGAAGGTCTACCAGCAGCTGTTTTTCTTGCCCAGATTGCGAGCGTAGTGAATAGTCTGGTATGATACAACTTGATCAGTGCTTTAATAACTTAATGAAGATGCTTGTGAAAAAACAAAAGGCAAAAAAAGGTAAAAGCTGCTTGGTTTTTATAAGGGCCATAAATTATTTTTAAGTGTAGAATTCCTTTTATAAGGCTGTTTAGGGAACAAAGGTGGGGGGAAAATAAAAATTATTTTTCCCAATGAGAAGAATGAAAGAGCAGCATGTCACATTTATCAGGAAAGAATTATAGCGTTCACTACAGGTGAGGAATGTGAATCTGAAATGACGCCATTTGCAGATTGCAGCTGTGTGGCTTAACAGAAATTGTAAGGAGTGAAAAATTTCAGTGCAGATCTAATGAGCTCAAATGTATGTGAAGTGTAACAGCTTGGGAAGAGGAGTTGGGGACAAGAGGGTGAAAAGAATATTTGCAGAAAGGAATTACTGACCTTGTGCTCCTTCATAGACTGAGTATAATTTAAAGAAAAAGAATAAATATTGATTAACAACCAAATTGGGGTAGATTAGAAGGGCGTAGAGACTGCAAGAAAATACCCCTATGTAGTTGAAAAATATACTGTCAATACTATCTGGTTTTGATACAGCATTAGTAAAGTAATATGGGAGAATCCTATGAATTCAGGTGTGTGAATGGTGCAAGTAAACAAGCATGGGAAAAGTTAGGATTGTTTGTCTTGGATGTAAAGATACACAAAATGAAAAATTGTAAGAGAAGAGAGGTCAGAGCTTTACTTTAAGAGTTATAATCAAGTGACTGTCACAGTAGTAATGCTGTGATTGCTGGTAGCTCTAGTTTGTTAGGGTTTCTCAGTTTTTTTGGGTTTTTTGTGGAGGAAAAAAATAATGAAAATAAAAAATAAAAAATAAAGTTTCAAGACTTAAAACTAGACAGGTGATGGCATAAAAAGGAGATGGTAAGAATTTCATTCCAGAAAGTAAAGATGGATGTGCAAGGAATATTTTAATGTTCAGGAAGTAACATTTTTTGTCAAGTTTGTTCTACTTTGGTTTCAGGCACAGAAAGATCAGAAAAAAGATCGTCCTCTCGTGCGACGCAAGTCAGAACTGCCTCAGGATATCTATACCATGAAAGCCTTGGAATCACATTGCAGAGCTGATGAATTAATATCACATGATGGGCATTAAGCTATTACAGTGAAATATTATTTTGGAGGAACAGTTTTTTTTTCTGGACTCAGTTCTACAGTAGAACTTAATTTTTTGTGCCATACCTATTGGTTACACACAAAGTCAAAGTTTTCTTCAACCCAGTTCTGTAGGCAATAACTTAAGAGTATGCAGCTCAAGATTAGTAGTTCAAACAATGGTAAACAACCCAGTTCTGTATGCAGAATATTGGGTTGACAATAATCAAGTGGACACAATTTCCTGGAGGTGTTATCGTAGTACCAACTGGCTGATAACATGCAGTTTTTATAATCACGTTTGAGAAGAGCATTCTGTAAACTAATTGCATCTAAATAAATGAATGACCAATAGTTGGTACTAATGATAAATGTGCATTTTCAAAAGTAAAATTATATCAAATTTGAGTATTAAACCTTTTGTAGGATTTGTCAACTTTATAGTTGTTTCCACATTGCTATCTTGTAATATACCAGCAGTTTTGAAAGTACGTGATTATTCTTTCGTACTATGAAACATGGCTTACAAACTGGTACCTGTCATGACAATCCTTGATCATGATTCCTTTTAAGGGTTCTGTAAATTCATTTCTCCTTTACTTAGGATAAAGATATATATACAAGTATATATATATTCCATGTCCTAATACTTTATGTATATTTAAAGCCATATTTTCCAGTCTTCAGTATATTATATGGCACCAGTATTCCAGAAGTGAACTGGTAGAATAATTTTTCCTAAAAAAAAAAAAAAACAAAAAAAAAACCAACAAGTGTTTACTATGACTGGGAACACATTGAATATAAAATTTCATTTTGTTTTTTTTTTCCAAGTCAATAAAATACTCTTTCACTGTTTTCTCCCTTATCTGAGCTTTTAATACTCAGCATTTTTCTTGGGCTCTAAGAGTTCAGTATTCCATGGCAGATATTTTGTGTCATTTCAGCTGCATCAGTTTTTATCTGAAAGATCAGGAAACAAAACTTCACAAGCTTAGGACAAAGTAAAAGGAGAAAAAGAACAGACAGTTGAATTCCATTTTGCTTCTTTTTTTGAGTCTAAGAGCTGGGGAGATCGTGACCATAACTTTATTGTGAAAATATTTTTGTTGTTGTAAAGAGCACATGTGCTGCAAATACACCTCACGAGTGAACTGAAAACGCATCTGAATTGCTGATGATCTTCAAATGCTGCTATATATTCCACAAGATTACTTGCATGTATTGAGCTTTTTGTTGTAGATGGAAAAGCACGGGAGGAAAATCTTTTTTAAAATATAGTTCTTTGTCTTCAATATTTGATTTCTCTCAGGGTGGCCAGTATTTTGACTTACTTATCCTGCTTACAAGCTGTTTGAAATGTGTTCTGCTATTCTAAATGGGTGATTAGTTTCCTTTGTCTCTGGCAGTAACATGATATAACTTAATGTTTAATGTCTTGATGCATAAAGAGATAAAAATGTGGCTTCTTTAAAAATAGTTTTGTTTCATTTTTTAAGGAAGTGTAATGTCTCCTGCATCCATAAAGATATTGCACAAAGCAGACCTTCGTAGTAACCTTGTGCAGATGCTGTGCCTGCTGTTTGTTGGTTGCATTTAACATACAATTTCCAATATTTGTGGTCTACTGGAAGAAAATTGTCAGCAGTAGATATTGGCTTACAAGAACTAAATTTAAAGACCAACCCAACCTATAAGTGGAATGTCCACTGCATCTGAAACATTTCCTGTAAAACTTGAAAAAGATTATGCTTTACCATAAGGATAAACTCTATTAGAACAGTTTAAAGATGCCTTCTCCTTTTGAGGGAAAAAGGGTGCTTTTTTAATTGTGTAAAGCAGTGTCTATGTATTTTGATATACCATTGTTTGAACTTCCATCTTTAGCTGGTAGATTATCAGTTACCTTTGATTTTGGGTGTTCAGTATGTTTGTGCAAGAGGTTGCTGAAAGGAATTATGTTACCCGAGGAGGGGAAGGAAAAAAAATGTATATCAATGTTTGATCGACTGTGTGATGCTCAACGTATAAGAACATTTTTCACTGTCTAAACTTAATTTCTGTTCTTTATTGAAGATAAACATTCACCAAAAAGAAATAGAAATATGCTATTTCTAGACACTTAAATTTCATATAGATTCATATTTTAAGTTTGGGGCCACTTGTCATTTTATTAGGCAGTATTCCAAAATCTGTCACCACTAATTGTTTAGCATGTTTATTATTAATAATTATATATTTATAATCCTTTACTGAACCATTCTTAAAAAAAAAACAAAAAAAACAACAAAGCCAACAACAACAAAAAGGAAGGAAAATTAAAGTAGAATTTTGGTGACTGTGGTTCTTCATAAAGTTCTGTGTTTGACACCTTTCCCTGTTCTCCAAAATTACACCTGTACATCAGGAATGTCAAAAGTAATATTACAAGTGTCTTTTTAGTGTGGCTTCAGTATGGCTTCATTTTAATATTGTACATACATTGTACTTTGTTTTATGGTAATAAGTAATAAAAATGTAGACTTCATATTTTGTACAGAATCGTCCTATGTACAGAATAAAAACTTCCTAGAAACAGCAAAAATAGGTAAGTGGCACAATTATTTTTCATTAGACAATATCTGTAACATTATGCAGTAGTGGAATGTTAAGTTCAAATGTACCAACATATTTTTTAACATTTTGTAATTCAGTTTTTTTGTTCTGGCATTGTTTCAGAAGGACTTCATACACCTGCCATTTAATTTTGCTTTTATCTAATTTAAAAAGAAAAAAAAAAAATTAATGGTGTGTTATATGGACAAATAAAGAACATGTGAATTTTACTTTGCTCATCATGAAAATATATCCAGCACAGGGCCTTTGGGGGGGGAGGGGGATGTTCAGATTGTCATAATTTGAAGAATAGCCTGTGGGAATTAAAGAATTGTGTAAGTTTCACAAAAAAGTGGGAGTGCTACTAATGTTGGTAGTATTAACAAAATAACAGGGAGTAATGGTTATTCTGTAGAAAAAAGCAAGCAACTTTAAGAACAGTTATCAGTACTGAAAAGAACTTGATAAATCTCCGGACTACAGATACAGAAGATCCTCTGTTCTGTATTTTCCCTTGTAACATTTATGTTGACAGGCTTCGAATGAAGTAGCCAAAAAATTAAGGAGATTATAGGGTGGTAGGTAAGTGGCCGGGTGGCAGGAATATCAGAAAAGTTCTGACTTTGAAACAAATAGATGGTTATTGGTTTATGTATATATTTTATCCCCAAACAGGAGGCCATAACAAAGTATATGTATATCAGTTTGGTTGGTTGGTTTGGGATCTCCCTGGATTTAGACTTCTTTGAAAAGATGAGACTTGGCTTATGCTGTCTTTACCTTATGAGGTAAAACTTTGATCTAGTTAAATACTGTGTATGAAAAAAATTCCCAAGGGGGAATTTACTGTACAGCTATGGAAGTTAATAATACATCATTCCTTTCTCACGTAATTGAAGAGAGCAACATGATTGAAGCTTCCTTTCTCTGAACCCCTTCATCCTGGGACTGCATTCACTCCTGCATGAGTGGAGGGCTGCACAGACAAAGTGTGAAGCTACGTAAGCATCCAGCCTAAGGGTTTCAAGGGGAGAGCTTCCAAAGTTTTGATACAAGGGAGGAGGGAGCTTTCACATACTTTGCTTCAAGCTATATTAGGCATTCTTGTGGTCCAGAAGACCACACTAAGAGGAGTCACCCTCGTGTGAAGGTCTTGCTGTACTAATGAGTATGCTTTTATGGAGAGCGCTGGCTCCGTAAGAGCCAGAGATGGGGGGAAAAAGTGCTTGTTTTTTGTTTTTTTGTTTTTTTGTTTTTTTTTTGTGGATTATTTTTGTTGTTTTTGCTTTATTTTGGTCTGAAATACTACCCAATTACTACCAAATGCAGGGAAATGAACAACTTTTATCGTTTGCTGAAATTGGTCTCCATGATGATGAAGTTGCAGAAGAGAAATGGGCTGGTTTGGCACGGCTCCACTCAGAAATTGAAATGAATTGGCAGATGTCAGTGAGTTGGGATACAGGCAAACTGCACCTAGGTGGGAAGAGCTGAGAGTAGGAAGAAATGCAAATATGAAGCAGAAAGGTTGGCAGGTTGTTGCCCATTTGTTTAAACTTAGAAGATAAGCGTGCCGCATTTCACTTGAACGTGTAATATGAGCTGATGAATAACTTCTACCTGTGGTGACAAGCTCCTTTTTTCTCCTTTTCAATCCCCACTTCACTTGTTTTGTCTATCAGATCTTAGTTCAGTACCCTGTCTCCCTATTTCAGACATTGCTTAATTGAGATGTTATATTTCAACTAATCCCCAGCAATTATTGCGCAGTGATTTACAGTGCTCCAAACGCTGCTTATCACTTGCCATTTAATATGAAAGTAGGGATTTGGCTTAAATTTACTGAATACTATTATTCTCCTCTTATAAATAACATCTGTGAATTATTTTCCACTGTTCACTCAATGACGTAAAGGTGAGTGAGAGTATTACAGTATTGAATTTAAAAAAATCTCAAAAGTATGTCGCAAATATGAGAAGATACAGAGTTGAGAGATTGGTGAAATCACTGAAGGAAAATGTTAGCATCAGAACGGAGGGGGTGGAACATCTGATTTTCTGTAACTCAGGCAGTTGGCCTTCAAAAATGTACCAAATCATGACAAATAAAATCTCCTAATTTTTTTTTTCTTTTGTGCCTGTGGGAAGCTTCTGTAGACCTTTGGAATTCTGAGGCTTTCTTTGTGTTCCATTACTAAAATGACTGATATCTACTGGAGGTAGATCGAGGCAAACTGTTGCTCACCTTGATTGAGCAAACTAAAGCCTGTTCTTTGCATGCTTTAATGCTGCCTGAGAACTTGTGCAGGGGAAAAAAAAAGAAGCAACCAAAAAAACTAGTTTATCTTGTCTTTTATTTTGGATTCCTTTAACTCAAAGCACTTCTCAGCCCCTTTACCCTCCCTTCACACAGTAGATGAAGGTGAGGTGATTAAAGAAATTAGAAAGCATCTAATCTAAACTGCTTTTTAGTTGGAAGTAGTCTGGCACTTAACATAGCAGAATCCTAGTCTTGTTCTTTACTATATGGCCTTGTGAATTATTTAATTTGTCCTTAAATGTAAGAGTTGCTGGTTTTTAGGCTTTTTCTTAATACTGTTTTTTTTGGGGGGAGAGGGAAGGGGGGTGCATTTTGGCAGTAATTGATATAAATAATTACTGCAATTCTTATTTCCTGTCTCTGTCCTGCTTTCTCCTCTGTACTTCCTTACTTCACTTTCCTTATTTCTTCCCAGCAGCAATTCTAGATTAATGATATTGTATCTTCCTTTGTAAGCCTCAAAGGTGGTGACATTTTGGTGCAGCAGATGACAGCTGTTTAGAAGAGTGAGCATGCTGCCTAGCTTCAGCTACCTTCTTTGAGATTCCAGGTTATGCTTGAGCCAAGGTGTTCATTTAACTTGTGTTTTTTTGGATCCTTGCCTGATCTGATGTTTACTGTGTGGATATGATAGGTGGCTATTTCCCCCGGTGGGAAGCAGCAAGGCAGGGCCTAGCTATGGATCTTCAGTAGAATTCAGCCTTGACACAGCTTTTTTTCTTTATTTAGTCTAATCCTAAAAGCATAACTTATGCATAGAAGAAAGTGTGTGTGAACAGGCTGGCCTTCAGATGGAAAACGGGAGTGTTGTACCAAACACTTGAAGAACACGGTTAATGGCATGTTAAATAGAACACTCAGATGACTTGGCTACCTACTGCTCAGGGGAGAAGGCTCTGAGGCTCCAGGGAGACTAAGTAAAAGGGGCTTAAGAAGGGAGGAGGGGGGAAGAGATGTGATAAGGATTTAAACTAGAGGGTAGATTTACATGAGGTGGCAGGAAGGAATTCTTCACGCTGGGGGCTGAGCCCTGGCCCAGACTGCCCAAGAGCTGTGGCTGCCCCATCCCTGGACGTGTTCCAAGGCCTGCGGCAAGGGGTGGAACTGCACGATGCGTAAGGTCCCTTCCCCCAGAAGCCATTCGGTGATTTATTAGGCTGCAAATAAGCTGACGCACGAGCTGGATCCATAAAGCGACCAAGGTGAAAAGCCGCAGCCAAGCGTCATCTACGATAGTGCCTGGCCCCAGCGCCTGCGGACGAGGGCTTTCCGCCTTCGCTCTTCCAGAAGGAAGCAGTCAAATAAAACAACACTGCTTCTTGTTTAAGAAACGAGGAAAGTGCGCGGCCCCGGGCGCAGCGCTCCGTGCCGCAACGCCTCACGCGGGCCCGACGCCAAGCAGTGCGGCCCGGCCCCGGGGCGGAGCGCCCTGCCCCTCTCAGGCTCCCCCCCCGCTGCTGGGCGTCGCTTATAAGGCGGCGGGCGGTGCCGATGCGGGCGGCGCCTCCTGCCTCGGCATGTCCGACTCCGGCAGCGGCGCGGGCGGCGGCCCCGGCGGCGGCGGCGGTGAGGAGGGCGGCATGGAGGTGTCGGGCTCGGCCGTGCAGAACGTGGCCGACGTGTCGGTGCTGCAGAAGCACCTGCGCAAGCTGGTGCCGCTGCTGCTGGAGGATGGCGGCGAAGCCACCGCGGTGCTGGAGGCGGCCCTGGAGGAGAAGGGCGCCGTGGAACATATGCGCAAGTTCCTCTCCGACCCGCAGGTGCACACGGTGCTGGTGGAGCGCTCCACCCTTAAAGGTGAGGCGAGGGCCCGCTCCCGCCGCCATCACAGCGTCACAAAATGGCGGCTCTGGGAGAGAGCGAGGGATGGAGGGCGGGTGCGGCGCTTGCGGGGCTCCGCCGCCGTTCTGCTCGGGGCCGAAGGGCCGGGCGGTGGCTGCTTCCGCCGCGACCGGAGTCCGCTGCGCTTTGTTTGCTACGGCGGGCGCCGGAGAGGCGCTGGAGGCGCTGCAGGTGGTGCCCGCCTGCCTGCCGCCTGGCCGCCCGGAACGGCGGGACGAGAAGGGCCGGAGCTGGAGCTGCCCGCGCGGGGCTGCGCCGTGCTGAGTCGAAGCGCCCCGGGTTCCTCAGTCCGGGCGCGGTGTCTTTGTTTAAGAAACGCCGCCGGGTGCTGCGCTGCGTACCGCAGCCAGGCTGGCTGGCAGAGGGGTGTTCCTGCGGTTTATGTGCTCCGTACGTTTGAGAAGGGGCTTTTCATTAAGGCAGTCAGCAGTCGTTGACTGTCAGCAGTCCCTAAATAGGCCCTTCTGGTCACAGGATCTAGCGTGACGGATGCTAAAAAATACGAGTAAGGCCCCTTACACGGAAGTTTGCCAT